ATTATATCGCTAGCAATGTTATTATATCGCTAGCAATGTTAATATATCGTGAGTAACGTTATTGTACCGTGAGTAATGTTAACATCTCGCTAGTAATGTTAACATCTCGCTAGTAATAACATCTCGCTAGTAGCGTTATTATTTCTCTAGTAATGTTATTATATCGCTGCCTTCTCCCCACATAGTGCGTCCTGTCGTCCGTCATCGTCGTTGCACTCAAGGGAATGTTCATGCAAGTGAACGACCTGCGGCGCGTGTGGGCCATTTCGCGTTCCGATGCCCTTATATGGCTCGCCTCCTTCCTTGCCGTTGTGCTCATCGACATCGACTTCGGGCTCTTGATCGGCGTTGTGGTGTCGCTGTTCGTCTTGCTTTACCGAGGACAGAAACCCAGCACCGCCATTCTCGGCTCCGTTCCCAACACGGATATTTACCTGGACATTAATAAGTACTCCGCGGTAAGGCTTTGGAAGGGTGTTGCTTAGTTTGATAGAATTATTGTTTTTTATTATTTATATGAAATAGTTGTATTTTTCACTTTATTCTGCGACGTCAAGAAAGATAATTGCTTTAATTTGGACAGCAAAGGAATGGCTAGATATTAAACTATATATTGATTTGTATCACAGGCTGCAGAGGTACCTTCAGTTTCCATTTTCCACTTCAACGGGCCGCTTCACTTCGCCAACAGTGAATACTTCCGAACTCAGTTGTTCTCCATGACTGGCCTGGACCCCATTGCTATTATTAGTAAAAAGAAAGCCCTTGAGAAGCAGCAGGCGAAATCCGACCTTATCATCGACCCTAGCAAGGTAATGCAGAGTTTTTATTTTATTTTATTTTACTTTTAAGGTGTTATGATTTGTTATGACTATCAATTCCCCAAAAATTAATTTTTGTGTAAAGTATGTGTAATCGTGGAGAATTCATATGAAAATTGCTGTACGCTAAATCAGATGGCATGTTACCCGAGTTTTTTTCTTTTCTTTTTTACTTTCTCCATTACGTAAAACAAACTAAAACAGAGAAATGTTCTCCAGACCTTAAATACATTGTTTGTGTAAATATGAATTAAGTAATAAATTGATTAACAGATAAAGGCATTTATAAAAATACGTCAAATAATTTGAGAGGGCCAATTCCAGTACAAGACATTTCCGGAAGGTTTTAAAAATATAAATATAAATCTTTTGTCCATCTGTACATTTCCGACTTTAAGTTTCTGTAGACTTTCCATCCCATTTTCTTCTCTTTTCACAAACGATCTGTTTATCTTGATAAAATTTCTGAGATCTTTATAGAACATCTTTTTATATATAAAGGAAAATGGTGTACGCGGGAGTACGGAAAAGATCCCTGAAGAGTTTGAGGAGAAACCCAACGACGTGAACGATAAGCATGCAGTTCTCGCCGTGCCCGTGAGTTCCCGTTTTCTGTTCATTGATATATAGAGAAAACTGTTAATAGGGGGTACTTGCAATTTTTATTATTTAGAGTAGGGAATTACGTGTGTTAAGAGTTCTTCTGGCTTTCAGAACTAATCAGGGTTGGAGTTTCGGTAATTTGATTTTTTCATATATAAGACTAATCCAAAGTACAGTAATTCCTTTTAGTATACATATCTCAGGATATTAAATAAGACTAGCTCTGAGTAAAATTAGTAATTCAATATTATTATAACACTAGTGCCATATACTGGAGAAAAAATAGTATAACACTTATGCCATATGTTATAATTGCTTTCATTATTATTCGCATTCCAGGAAGTTAAGTGGCTGGTGCTGGACATGAGTAGAATCAGCTACTTGGATTCCACGGGAGGAAAAGTCATCGCACAGCTCGGAAAAGAATATAACGATGCCGGCATTGTACTCGTTCTGGCTTCAGTCTCAGGTGACGAAGGCAGCAATACTTCTTCTCCTCCTTTTCTTCACTGTTTTTTTCCTAATCCTTCTAATTCTCTCCTATCTTTTCTTTTTCTATTTTTCATTTCCTTTTTTTTCTTTTTCTTTTTTCTTTTTCTTTTCTCGTCTTTTTATTTTTATTTTTCTTCTTTTTTATTTTTCTTTATCTTTTCATCTTTTTCTTTTTCTTTTTCTTTTTCTTCTTTTCCTCCTCCTCTTAATTCTTATTCTTATCCTTTTTCTTATGCTTCTGATTATGATTCTCCTTCTTCTTCTTCTTCTTTGGTATCTTCTTCTTCTATGCATCGAGTTTCATTTGTTCAAGTTCCATGAACAAAAATATATCTGAACCTTATATTAAACTGATATTAGTCCCAACTTGTGAAACAAAGATCACAATAACATTTCTCACCTTTGCTCAACAGAAAGCGTCCTGGATAGCCTGGAGAAGTGCGGTACTCTGAAGACCATCTCGGCTGAGCAGATCTTCCATACTATTCACGATGCTGTCACAGTCCTCACGGTGTTGGATAATGAAAACAACTGCACCAAACTCTAAACAGCTTCATGTATTGTTCTTATGTATTTTTGTGTGATATTTATTGAATACGGTGGCAAAATCAACGTAATTATATTGGGAAAGGAAAGCGTTTTAGGTTTGCACTTCCATAATGGCTGATTTTGATTACGTAAAGCACGGTGATGGATAATGGCAACAACTGCACCAAACTCTAAAAAAATATCATGTATTGTTCTTATGTATTTTTGTGTGATATTTACCGAATACGGTGGTAAAATCAGCATAATTATAATTGGAAAGGAAAGGGATTTAGGTTTGCACTTCCATAATGGCAAATTTTGATTGCGTAGAGCACGATGATGGATAATGGCAACTGCAGCAAACTGTTAACAAATTCATATATTATTCTTATGTATTAAATTCAGTGGCAAAATTAACATCATCATAATGGGAAACGAAAGGGATTTAGATTTGCTCTTCCATAATGGCTAAATTGGATTGCGTAAAGCACGTTGTTTGATAATGGCAACTGGCCGCAGACCCAAGCTCTAACAACTTTGTGAATGTCGATGTATTATTCTTGACTTATCATCTTCTCGGTTTTTATGTGAGCTATATGGATTATTTTATTTTACGAATTCACGTGAGGAAAGAGCCCAACATCAATTCTAAGAGTTGTCGGAGGCATTCACACGTAACAAGGGATGATAGACTGGGGTTCAACTTTCGTCCTGATAATGGCGTTAGAATCGTGATGATTTGGAGTGCACGTTAAGAGATCTGTCTAGATGGTCGATATTACAAGGCAAGCGTCTTTTCATTATGTCTGTGCCAAAGACTTTGGGTGGAATAAAATATTCACTCAATGTATTGTGGGTGGAGGGTAATGATTATCGCTCTATAGCGCAATAACTTGTATCTCTCTTCATTTTTATTCGTGCTAATTTTAATATCCTTCTTTCATTAAATGGGGGTTAATAATTATTTAATAGAAATTAATCGATCCCGCTAACCACACCAGTGCATAACGTACTACTTAGTGCTTCATTTACGT